ATGCCGGGCACTTCGGCTAGTTTTATATTAAAAAAAATTCCGGTTATATATCATTTATGTAACACTACATTCAGTGTATATGTATAAACTATGTTAATAAATGTAAAGGGATATATTTGTGATTTGATTCCTTTCCTGATTTTTAATATACAACTTAAAATAGACTGTATTTCAAAATCCGAATAAATCTGAAAACCAAAGCACTTCCGGTCCCAAAAATTTCTGATACAGGATACTCAAACGATGTGTATATATATATATATATATATATATATATATATATATATATATATATGAATATATATATATATATATATATATATATATATATATATATATATATATATATATATATTTGCTGAAATTATTAATTAAATGCAGTAGAAGGATTAAATAAGCACCACGTAGAAAAATTTTCATAAATTTAGTGTCTCGATATTTTATTCAGCTTCATCAGAAATGTTTGGTAAGTGAAATAACGCAGAGTTATGACTCAATGTTTAAATGCTACGCTGCTTTGATTTCATTGGTCGTTTAAACATCACATGTATAACTTACGACGTGTGTGCTGATGTCTGATTCTTGAAATGTTAACACATTTAAGTATGTGTTAAAAATTGGATGTATTAGTGCCTTGTAATTGTATGATAAATATAACGAAGTGCTCGAAGTGAATGCTTACATCATTCTCAAAGTATATATATATATATATATATATATATATATATATATATATATATATATATATAATAGCTGGCCACTCGTATTCGCGGATACCCGTCTACTAGGTCGGCTGAACAAGGCCAGCACACTCAAACCCTCGATCCCGATGACTTGTAATTTCATTCTATGACAGCTATCGACCGCTCCTAAGGGTTCCGTTTACTCAGTTTAACTCACAAGGCTTGGGTCAACCCGTGGTAATGTGTTTGAGGCACTTTCCAATACGATAACCTCAGGAACTCTCCTTCCTGTCAAATCGACCATGGTGAAATTCAAACCTGGGTTTCATGGTCAGAAGAGATATATATATATATATATATATATATATATATATATATATATATGTGTGTGTGTGTGTGTGTGTGTGTGTGTGTGTTACAAGGAATCATTCATGCAAAAAGTAGATTAGTAATGTTAATGTTATAAAATGGCGAAATCCCTTCGTTAACATGTGTTATTGTTAACGGAGACAAACTTTTGTATCCATTAATAATTAGACATTTAAAAAAAAGACATATTTCGATTTACATTATATTTTTTCGTCTCGGATGCTACCTGAATTTTAGCAAAAACAAAATAATTTCCATGCGTGAAAATGACTGAATGTAGAGTTGAAAGTACTTGCGTATTAAAGAAAGACCTTATACAGCTTATAATTTTTAAAAACAAGGATCATAGCCTTCATCGAGCGATTTGAAGGTTAATGCACCTTTAAAATTTTGTTTGCCAAGGGATTTCGCCATTTTATATCATTAACTTTACTAATCTACTTTTTGTATGAATGATTCATTGTAATATAAATTGAACTGCTCCACATATTTGAAATATATATATATATATATATATATATATATATATATATATATATGCACACTGATCGGGGTGCGTGTGTGTGTGTGTGTGTGTGTGTGTGTGTGTGTGTGTGTGTGTGTGTGTGTGTAAGTCACGCGAGATTATGTGCTTTCTCCCAGTAATTGCAACTAAGGTTCTCTTAGCATAGTTGCATTAAAAACACAGATGGGCTCCGTGGGTGTTGAAAAAACGCAAATATGCCTGACCTGACGTCTCCAACAGGTACTGGTTAACCGCCCTAGCTGACGTTTTTGCTTGGACATTATTATTACTTATGTACGTATGTATGCACAGAGGCATAGAAATGCCTTGTTTGGTATCCAGTCTACTTGGAGTGCGGGATCCGTAATTTTCATGAAAACAACCGCATCTGATATACCTCGTTTGCATCAGTTCAATTATGTGCCATGCGTGAAACACGCTTAGGCTTTCAATACATGACTGACGAGACAGAGTTTCTCCCGCAGTATGTTGCCATTTCTTTCTGCGGCTCGTTTGCATAAAATGACATAAATCAGTTAGTCTCTTTGGAAAAATATCCAGAGACTCAGATTGTCTCTTTGGAAAGCCTTCTCCAGAAAAAAAAAAAAAAAAACATGGAAAAAATTCCATTGCAGGTATCCCTTGATTTTTATTCCATTTTTAAAGCGTGTAAGTCCATAGGAGGACTAAAAAGTCACATTCGCAATCCAAATATTTTGGGATCAATTAAGTATCGTCTTGAGATGTTTGGAGTGTTCCCGCGTGTGTGTATTCAAATAAAGACAAACACATATGTAGGGAAAATACTGGTATATTTGAAAAGGTATTTAACAACAGAGTGATTAGTAATAACGATCGCAGGTTAGTAGTAACAATCAGCAAGAGTCTAAAGTCCAACGGTAACTTCCGGTAGAGAGACGAAAGTGTAATGATCTCCTGATCTCGTGATCTCCTGAACTCGGGATCTCCCCTGATCTCTCTAGCACTGTCCTATATCGTAGAGAGATCAGTCCATTCTCAGTCAGAAGGTGGCCCCAACATAATGGAATATATACGTATGTATGTATTGATGGATGGATGAATGAATGAATGGATGGGTATAGTTAAATGCTGAGGCTGAAAACTGGGAAACTGCAGTATGTGTGGAAATGTCAGCCTATCGGCGGCAATTTAGCCATTCATTTGAGATCACATCAGATAGATCGAATACAAACCCCTGTGAATGCAACCCTACCAGAAAGACCAGCAGGTTACTTGTGAGAGTTTTGTGACAAGGTTTGTAAATCTGCTGCGGGACTCAAACATCACATGATGGTAAACAGTGACAGGTAAATTTCCAACATAGATAACACAAAGTTTATATATGCAACGTGTGTAAGAGAGGGTGTAAAAGCGAAGTTGGCCTTAAGAATCACTTACAGGCCCATAGCAGAGCGTTAGTTCGGGTAAAAATGATGGAAATAATAAAATCCTTATTTAAAATAAATTTAAAAAAAAACATATAGAAATAAAGGCTACCCAGCGAAGAGACAGTCTTCTTGTTCAAATAACTGACAATCATTATCATATATATATGTAAAAGCCTGTCATTTATAAAACATACACCTGCCAAAATAAACTAAAATATACTTCGCAACAGTCTCACTTTCTCTCCTCTACGGATGCTAAACGTGGGCCTTGTAGTTCAGGCACATCAATAAATGGAAAACATTTCGTATGCCCGGTCTTTGTTAAAAACTTTCAATTAAATTACAGGATCTCATCACCAGGTTTGACTTTTTGGACAGTGAGGACTCTACCAGCAGGGAAACTAATGATGGGGCATCTGAATGTTCATCAAGGCACAAATCCAATGGGCTGCTCGACCGTATTTAGCAAGATCAAATTCCTGGACGCTTATTGTAGGGAGAGCTGTTGAGGGGCAGAAGACATCAAGGTCGGCCAAACCTCTGAAAAAATTCAAAGACCAGAGTCAAAATATCCGCCAGCTGCCAATTGCCAACTTCCAGAGTGTCCCTGATTCAAATTCTACACTTGGTTTTCAGAGTCACTTCCGTACCTACAGATGAATTTCAAGATAAAGACTTTTTTTACAATAATGTTCAGCTTGTAAAAGGACCAAGAGCCATTCCTGGTAGAGAGTTACTGATTAAGCGGTAAAGGGGCAGAGTTTATGATGATCGGGAGGATAACGTATAACCCTAAATTTAAACAGGTTACGATTGTAATGATCAAGGAAGCATTCTCTTCGGAGTCGGTTCCATAAATTAGCGGTTCGAGGGAAAAATCTGTTACAATTTACCAATGTAATACGAAGAGAATGAAGGTGGTTCGCGACAATGCGTATAATATATCGGATCTTAAGTTTATAACTGATTGAACTAAGGAATGGAGTTCGTCTGACTACTTTTCCTGGAAATAGCGATACGTTAGCAAGAGCCTTGTAACATTTGTTTAAATGAAAGCGTTTGTAGGATGGAAAATAATTAATCACCCACAAGGTTTCCGAAACTGGAATGTGAAGATTGGCCATCCCCTGTCCATATATAGCAACATTACACTATTTTCGGCCTTATCTGGCTCTTGTAAAAGTAAAGGATATCACGAGTCATGTATTTACTGGAGTTCTGCAGGTATCCGAAAATTTTTCCAACAAAAAGGTTTTAGCGATGGATCTCATGTTCGAGTTACACTTGAGGTTTGGGTTAATCTTAAATGCCAATATCAGCTCAGGGTACGATGTCTCTCAGAGAACTGCCGCCCATCGGGATAAGCGAAAATTCATCTGCTCGGTGATGAAGGTACATCACTAGTAATGAATGTCAAGATAAAGACTTCTTCAATCCTGAAGAATAACCAGGATGTATATATATTTGTATGCACTATATTTTCATTAACCATGTCTGTTTTTCAGTTCATCTTTTATTTAAGAGGGTTTATTTCTACCGATAATACCCTCCTGATTGCACGAGTCTATAATTCTTTACGAATTAGGATAATATTTACTTAGCTTACGTACATGATCAGATCAGAAAGAGAGGTTTATTGATACGCCGTTGTAAATGCAGAAAAATCCCTTTCTTTCCGAAGACACGAACGTAGAAACCACTAAATGTGGACTCTAAAAAATTGTATATTTATAACAAGAGGCCATCATAAGAAATAAAATAAAATCAGAAAAATACATCTTTCGGCTTTTAGCGTAATACAAATTGATTCGCTAAAGCCAGAACCATTGGAAGGCGCCCCGTATTTATAGCCATGTTTACATACAAATAACTCTTTGTTTTTGTGCCTTTATTCTATGCATTTGTCATATTTAGGCATACACGAGATTTTGTTTGCAGTAACAAACGTTTGTTTGTGCGTGTTTTGCGCATGTGCAAGAATATATATTTATGTGTGATAATTACATGATAAAGTGAACAGCAGGAAAACTAATGATGGGACACCGGAAGTCGACGAAGCAATCAGCGCCAAACAGACCTGCGCACAACCAGTTTCTGATCGGCTGTCAACTTCTCGCCCGCCTTTGTGACTGTTTTTCATACCGGATGTCACATTACAGCTCTCCACCATATTCGTCTGTGCTAGATCAGCGGGTGGCCGTCCTCGAGGTGACACAGCATGATAGAAAAAGTTATTTCCCAAAGAGGAAGCTATTTCGACTCTGCTTCCTCAATCTCAGAACTCAGAATTCTTTTTACACAACGTGAATCACTTTAAAGATGATGTGGATTACTCTCATATTCCCTCTCCTTCTCTTTTGCTTTCTATCCGTACTACAGTAAGTTATCCTTTTTTTTTTCTATTTTAGTCTTTCTATACCCTATTTTTCTATCTTTCTCCATTTGTTTCTTTCTTTCTTCCCCCAAATCTTTATAGACTTCTTATTCCTTAATTTTCAATATTTCTTTCTTTCCTTCGTCTTCAATCTATTATAGTGTTCCTATTCCTTAGTTCCATTTTCCATTTCTTTCTTCATTTTTTTCCTTCGTCATCTTCAAACCTGTTATAGACTTTCTATTCCTTATTTCTCTCTCCCTTTCCATTTCTTTTTTTTCTTCTTCAATACTTTATAGTATTCCTATTCCCTAATTATCTATCTCTATTTCTAGGTATTTGTCTTTCTTTCTTTCTTTCTTTCTTTCTTTCTTTCTTAAGAGTATTATAGTATTCCTTTCTCTATTTTTCAGTTTGTCTCTTTTTTTCTTTCTTCTTCAAAAAAAGTAATTTATGCTATTCCTTTCAATATTTTCTTCTCTTTCTTTATTTATTTTTCTTTGTTTTTCTTTCTTTCTTTCTTCAAATCTTTAATAATCTTCCTTTTCCCTAATTATATCTCTATCATTATTTTTCTTCCTTTCTTTCTGTCATCTTTAAATCTGTTAAAGCTACCTCTTCCATAGTTCTTTTTTCCTCTAATATTTTATAGTTTTCCTGTTCCCTATTTGTGTCTCCATTTCAAGCTGTCTTTCTTTCTTTCTTTCTTTCTTTCTTTCTTTCTTTCTTTCATTCTTTCTTTCTTTCTTTCTTTCTTTCTTTAATAAAAGTTTTATATTATTTCTTCCACTATTTTCTCTCTTTCTCTGTTTGTTTATTTTTCTCCTTCAAAAAGTCTTTTATATTATTCGTTTCCCTATCTCCCTCACTTTCTCCTTTCTTTAGTTGATTGTTTTTATTTGTTTCTTTCTTTCTTTTAGTCTTTTATTATCTTCCTTTTCCCTGTCTTCACCATTTTTCTTTCTTTCTTTCTTTCTTTCTTTCTTTCTTTCTTTCTTTCTTTCTTTCAACGAACCATACCTTTTTTTCTCTATTTTGTATTTCATTACTTTCAATATCTATATATTTGAATAATCCTTTTCTTAACCACATCCCATTCTTTACTTATGTAATTCCTCTCCGCTGTTTATATTTGATTACATGACAGTTTCCATTCCCTTTTCCTTCCTAATCTGTACCCTCTTCTTTCAACTGTATTTTTTAAAGTTATTTTTGGGCCAAAAGTTTTTTTTGGGACATTCCATATCATTTGAACCTAATTCAAATAATGTTTTCATTTAAACATTCCTTCGATTCCTGCTCGAGCTTTTCTATAATATTTGTTGAGTGCTATAACATTATAGACCGAATTGTTTGTCATGAGGTTGGAGTTAGCTACCGAGTAACTTAAACCTTTTCTAATGGAATCTATTCAATCATCATTGGATGTTTTAGTCACGTGGATTTCTATAAGATTAATTTAAGCTTAGAATTTTATTCATGAAACTCAAATTTTACTATAATACAAACAGTTTGTAACTTCGTACTCTTCATTTATATACTGTGTTCCTTCAGGATGGTGACGATCATGACTCTCTATAAGTTCCTATTCTTCATAGTTCTAAACAATGTTTGTCTCCCTACTCTGCTTTCTAATCTCTGTTTCGCGATCCATTTGCACATCTATCTGTGGTAGGTAGGATACTCTCTGTTTATTATCGTTATCTTTATTTTATTATGTCTTATGTGTATTACATTTTCCAAGCAGTCTTTCCTCATTATGTATCCTAGGCATTTCAGCTGTCTCTTTCTTACCTTTTCAGGAGATTTGGAATTATAGCTTTTCAAAAGTAGTAAAGAAAAGAGTATTTTTTTCTTCTCAACGAAATAGTGAACAGGAAGGTCCTGAAACATTCATTTGTCTCGTCCAGAAACGTTCTTAATGTTTTCTGTGTGATATATGCAGTAGTCTTCTATGAATCTGGGCCTATCTAATCTAAGTCTACCGATTTCTTTGCTTTTGTATTTAAGTTTGGTTTTCAGGACTTGTATTTTAAGTTCTCGTGACACAAACCTATTTTCTTATTTCGTTTCTCGTTCTTAAAGTTTGAAATGGTATCATTTTTAACCAAGTTTTCGTTTTCTTTTTACTATTTCCTGACAAATTCTATCAAAACCACATACACTCTCTCTCTGCATATCTATCTATCTATCTATCTATCTATCTATCTATCTATCTATCTATCTATTATATACCGTACCTATGAACCCTAACGGGTATGTCCCAATCCTCATAAATACGTAAGTGGGGTAATATTGTCGTATATTCCAAAAATATATTTCGGCTCAAAATAACCTACAAAAGATTGATAAGTTATAAAAAAATATCAATAAATCTGAGAAGATAAGAGTACTTTCCATCAACATGTCTATGTTGGCAGCGTGGGTAGCTTTTGCCGTGTCGAACTCTCTACCTTCGGGCAGAGAGGAACCCGGACGAGGCGCTGTTGAAGGGCAGAGTCTCGTCCGGGGTAGTAAAAATATACCCGATCCGGGGTCTACTACGTAATTTTTGCTCGAACCCACGGGCTCAGATTTCCCTACATTAATTTTGACCTTGTGGGGAGGCAGGTATAAATCGTAATATACTGTATAAGTAGACCGCCACTAGCAGTGGTTTACCTACTTCACGCCGCTGGCGAGTATTGTATTTTGTTGATGTTATAAAGATTACCATTTCATTTTCAGACTCGATTTTGGTTATTCCTCATTCAGTAACCCTTACTTGGTTACAACACTATCTCTTTATTAATCATTTCAACCCCAAGCGATACAATAAAGCCACTAAGATACAAAGGGTTACTGACTATAAAAGTATATGAATATATAAACGAAACATTTCGGGGAGAGAACAATAAAAGAATATAGATGAAGAAGACAAAACATAACGATTGACATTGCATTTTGATATTTAATGATAAAAATAGACTGGAAAGTAAGAAGCCGGAAAAGATTTCTACAATCGAAAAGTGTGAAAGAGGGAATTGACCAGGCTCTACTTTGCTCACTTCCGGTTACATTTAACTGTAAAAGATGAAACTTTGCCGCTAATCTAGTAGTATGCTTAAATTAATAAAGTCTGGGCATCATAAACGAAAGATCATCAGAACACTTACCATGAACAAATTTATAGAAAAAAAGAAAAGGGAAACTAAGTTACGGCGGTAAGAAAGTGACTGAAATCTAGATGCCAGGTCAGGACATTGTAGATTCTTCTTTTTATTTTATCAAGAATCTCTAAAGGCATAGCAGAAGAACCAGGTTAGTTATAACAGCAATATTCAATTCATGGACGAGTGGTAGACTTATAAATGTTTAAGATAAATTCCGGTAAGTGAACGCACTTACCTAGGAGTGGACCTAAATAATGATTCCATATGATCATGTCACATCAATCCAGCGGAAAAGGTTAGCCAGAGAAAGCGCAAGAATCACTGTCCTGGAGCTTAGGCTCAACCATATTGATGGAAGGTCCTCTTATCTTCTCAGATTTATTGATATTTTATACAACATATCAATCTTTTGTAGATTATTTTGCGCCGAAATATATTTTTGGATTATACAACTATTTTTTTGCGGGTGAATATCATATTAATATTATTTGTAGATAATAATTAATTTTAGATACAAGTTCTACTATTTAACGCAAAGCTGGTTTTGAGAAGAGGTGGCTTCAATGCCAAGGGCTTTTGGGTGTGACTATATGTAACCAATCCGACTCTAATTCGAATCTAACTCGTGTCTACGGCTTCTCACTTCGACCCGTTATCAATTAAATCAAGAACATATAAAAATCTTATATCACCTGGTATTTCGAAGCGGTCACACTTCTAGGTCCTGACCAGGCTCTACTTTGCTCAAATTTGGTAATCGGACGGGAACCGGTGTTTTCATCTGTTATAGCCGTAAACCTCGCTTTCTCTTGGAATTAAGATTGTTTTTTTTTGTAAATCAAGTACGCAGCTTAAAGACGAGAAAAAATAATTCTTTACTACTAAATTATAATAAGATATAATGAGTACATTACTATGCTTTCAGAGATGGTTTATTATTATTGATGCTGTCGATACAGTAAGCGGTTATCTTTTTTGGCTGAATAAAGACACATGCGTCACGTGATGGTCGATTAGTGAAGTCACTCCACCCAAAAACGGCAATCAATTTCTGTTTGTTTACAGCAGCCAAATCGAACATCTGCCTCCCCATCCCTATGGCCCGGGTAGATGTTAAATCTTTGTCATATATAACATAAGTGAATGGAATCGTCCGTTCATGTAAAAAAAACCGAGATAAGCTGAGGTGAGCAGAGTTATTATTAGGCCAACTGATAAGTGTGCCTTCGAGTAGTAAACCTTTTATTTCATTAATTACCCACGAGTTCGTCTTCCTTATTTCTCTCTGATATCTCGAAAACGCGTGATACATCAATTTTACAAGAGGCAACGCAGTTCTCAATTTGGTAAAAAAAAAAACAAAGACTGTTTTCTTCGCCTGTGACATAGAAGATGAATCTGGTACGTTTGAATCTGAACTCCTAAACATTGCTTCTCCAGACACAGAAGTATCTCCATATTATATGTAAGACCTTTCCTTTTTGTGTCTTACTCTCTGCTTGCTGTGCTGATATTTGTGATATATTATTCTCCACTTGAGACACATTTGTATATATGTATATATAGTTTTGTGTATGTTTTTGTAGTACGAAAATCTTTCTGAGAGCAAAGTATATTTGTCATTCTTTTTTCTCTCATGCATTCCGTTCTCTCCGTGAAATACGGTGTTATTATATCACGGACATAATGATACGCATAATGCAAGAAATAAATGGGAGAATAAAACATTCTTCTATGATACTCTCCTATTACAATGTTATCTAAAATAATAGAATTGATGATTTTAAATTTCATAAAATGACATCAATTCCCAAATTCTGATTCTAGACACAGAAATCATTTGCTGATACAAATGTAAAAATGATGCTTTATAAATATCAATGGAATTATTTCCCGAATTTCGTTATAACTTTCAAGATTTTATTGCACAGATTTTTGTTAGTTTACGAGTGTAAATCAGAAAGTAAATGAAATGTTGAAATTACGCTCGTAAAAATAACAGAGAAATGTTGGCGTGCCGTGCCACCCGTGTAAATGGAATAACGGCTTAGGATTCCAGCGTTCAGTCGAGCAGCAAGTAGCAATAAGGTAAGACGTATGACCTCTCTGCTCAGCGATTGCAGCATCGCAAAACAACGCACTGGAGCGATAATTAAAGGAGTAGAGTTGGACGTCAGCGCAGTATGAAGCACGCACATGAATCAGAGAAATGTGAATAAATAGACAGGCATCTTTCATCTGGTACACTTGTAAAGTGTAACAGATGAAAGACGATTTGGTCACCCATCAATATAGCGCACGTTAAGACTCACCCAAAGGGTGGATGCCTTGGTCAATTGTATGGTTATTTTTGTTTAGCGGCATGGGTTACTTAATGCCGGTTAACCTCCATGGGTTACTTAATGCCGGTTAACCTCCATGGGTTAATTAATGCCGGTTAACCTCCATGGATTAATTAATAATGGTTAACCTCCATTGGTTACTTAATGCCGGTTAACCTCCATGGGTTAATTAATGCCTGTTAACCTCCATTGGTTACTTAATGCCGGCTAACCTCCATAGGTTAATTAATGCCGGTTAACCTCCATGGGTTAAATGATGCCGGTTAACCACCATGGGTTAATTAATGCCGGTTAACCTCTATGGGTTAATTAATGCCAAAATCAAATTATTATGAACACAGTTTTATGGACTCAAATACAGATAAAATGTATTGTTGATCGTTTTGCTTGGAAATGTATTGGCGATTTTATTTTTAAAATGTACTGTTGGTAATTTTACTATAAATATGCATCGATGGTATTTTGTTTAATATAAAAAGGTATTGCTGATATTTTTACTCTAAAAATGAATTTTGTACTTTCATGGTGTTTTTCTTTTGGGGGTGACGCTATTTTTTCCATAGCTGGGACCCTAACAGGTGCTACCACCCCGCCTTAATCAGGGAAGACCGATGAATCACATGTACAATAAATGGTGGCAATGATTGTCATCAGCTATCGATCTGCACAAGACATAGCGCATGATGAGTTGGGATACCATAAAGTTTGTACGCGTTGTGTGCGTAAACAAGTAAGAGGAGCAGACGTGACTTCATGAGCAACCGCAAAGCTTCTTTTCGGAAGGGATGAAAAAGCTCGTTGAACGATACCAGAAGTGCATTCCCGTTTATCGATTTTGACTTAGAACGACCCCCCCACTTCCTGTTTAGCCGTTCATGTTTACAACGTTTATGTTATCATCATCTGTGAAATGTGTGATAAGCTTAAATCTCAAACTCCTAAAGAATTTTGCTTCTCATGTTTTCAGATTTCTCGTTTGAACATTTTATACGAATAGCTCTACCCACTGAGTAGTCTCTTTGTATTCTTTTTAGTTGATTTAGTAATTTCATATTACACTATTTATATTCAAACTATTGTCTTCATCCTTGTTTTTTATCACAACGTTTCAGTCGTGTTCTCCGGTCTTCTTCAGACTTTATTCAAAGGTATATGGATCTAGGTAAACTACAGTGAATTCTGAACTGAAGCCTTTAATCCACTGCTCATGTTCAGAGATATCTTATTCTTTATTTAATACTGTTCAGTTATTGCTCGCCCGTTTCCACACGGCCAGAACCAGTGACACCAAATTCACAAACCAACTAGGCCAAGGCCCCGTAGGACAATTAGCTGGAGTTAACCTAACCATGGCTGCTGATTAGGCTGTGCCTGCTGTTTCTGACTGTCATGTTTTGCCTGCAGCTATCCATGATTTGATTATTGCTGCTGCTGGTGGTGTTGAAGTCTTGAAGTCATTTGTCTTTCTTTCTTTATTACCGTCTGTATTTATTTCTATGCTAGTATTTATTTATTTATGCTGTATTTATTTCTATGCTAGGCCAACAAAGGAGGTTCTCATAGACTACCATATGAGCTGATTGTTTCAGACGCCTAACTCCCCCGTCTTCTTCCTTGTTCTGTATTTTCACTTCATTCCACAAGTACCGATTCCCACCCTTTTCCCTTTCTACATGATCAGTTATTCCCGAATTCCTTGCACACCACTCACTTCAGCATTTCTATGTTCCTCCTTTTTTTAT